TTCATTTATTTATCCTTACCTGAGGATATTTTTTCCATTGCTTTTTATTTCATTAATTTTTTTAATTTTTTTGTTAATCCTTACCTGAAGATATTTTTCCATCAATTTTTAGAGAGAGTGAAAGGGAGGAGGGAGAGACACAGAGAAACATCAGTGTGAGAGAGACACATCAATTGGTTGCCTCTTATCTGCACCCCAACCAGGGCTGGGGATCGAGCCTGCAACCAAGGCACACGCCCTTGACCAGAATCGAACTTGGGACCCTTTGGTCTGTGGGTCGACGCTGTATCCACTGAGCCAAACCAGCTAGAACTCAAAATGGATTTCAACCTGAACATAAGAGCTACACCTATACAATTCTTAGAAGAAAACATGGGAGTAAATCTTCATACAACACTAAAGCTGAGGTGATAAAAAAAATTGGATAAAATGCCTCTAAAATTTTAAAACTTTGTGCATCAAATACCACCATTAAGAATGTGAAAAGAGCCGAAACCGGTTTGGCTCAGCGGATAGAGCGTCGGCCTGTGGACTGAAAGGTCCCAGGTTCGATTCCGGTCAAGGGCATGTACCTTGGTTGCGGGCACATCCCCAGTGGGGAGTGTGCAGGAGGCAGCTGGTCAATGTTTCTCTCTCATTGATGTTTCTAACTCTCTATCTCTCTCCTTTCCTCTCTGTAAAAAATCAATAAAATATAAAAAAAAAAAAAGAATGTGAAAAGAAAAACTACAGAATGGGAGAGAATATTTGTAAATCAAATTTGATAAAGAATTTGTGTCCAAAATATGTAAAAAACTTGCAAGTCACTTACATGTATACAAATTACCCAATTTAAAAATAGGCAAAATGTTTGCATATTCATTTCACCAGGGAAGATATGCAAATGATTAATAAGCACATTAAAAGATGTTCAATGCAGTTAGAAGGAAAATGCAAGTCAAATCCAAATGAGATACCACTTCACACCCACTACGATGGATTTAATAACAAACACAAGTATTAGCAAGAATGTGAAGAAAAGAAACCTCATATATTACTGTAGGAATGTACAATGGGATAGCCATTTTAGAAAGCAGATCAGCAGTTTCTCAAAATGTTAAACATAGTTACCATATGACTCAGCAATTCTACTAGATATCTACCTGAGAGAAATAAATACATATATCCATACAAAAACTTGTACATGAATGCTGATACAAGTAGTAGTCATAATAGCCAAAAAATGGAACCAATCCAAATATCTATCAATTGGTAAATGGATAAACAAAATGTTTATCTATATGACTGAATACTATTTGATAATGAAAAGAAACAAAGTTATAACATGGATGGGCCTCAAAAAGTTATGCTAAGTGAATAAAGCCAAACAAAAGGGCCACTTATTAGATTATTGTTTTTATATGAAATGTCCACAATAGGCACGACTGTAGAGACAGAAAGTAGATTAGTGGTTGTCTGTAGCTGGGAGTAGGGACAGGGAGTGAGTGACTGCTAATAGACAGGAAGGATTTTTTAGGGTGACGAAAATGTGCTAACATTGGATTGTGTTAATGACACAACTCTAAATTTACTAAAAATCACTTAATTGTATACTTTAAATGATTTAATTATATGGTATGTGAATCATACCTCAATAAAGCTGTTAAAAACAAACTGATAATTAACTAGAAATAAAATGAAATTCATGAAAAGTATACACTAAAATCTATAGCTCATGTTTAAATAAAAAACTTTAGAAGTATTCTCTTTAAAATCAGGAAGGAGAGCCTGGCCGGCGTGGCTCAGTGGTTGACCATTGTCCTATGTATGAATCAGGAGGTCATGGTTTGATTTCCCAGTATGGGGTGTGCAGGAGGCAGTCAACCAGTGATTCTGTCATCATTGATGTTTCTATCTCTCCCTTTCCCTTCCTCTCTGAAATCAATAAAAATATATTTTTTAAAAATCAGGAAGGAGAAACATGCCTGATATTACTATTATTATTCACCATTGTTTTGGGGTAGAGGGTGGCAGGGTCCTAGTTGGTGCAATAGAAGAAGTAAAGATATAAGGATTAGAAAGGAAAAAATGAAACAATAGCATTCATAGATGATGCTATTGAATATTTTAGGCTTTGTATGCTATATAGTCTCTGAGCAGCCATAGACAATACGTGAATGTGTGTGGCTGTGTTCCAATAAACTTTCTATATAAAAACTAACAATGGTCCAGAGTTGGTCCACAGAACAGTTTTTATGACTCCTGGTCTATATAGAAAACTCTAGAAATTCTGCTGAGAAATTATCAGAATTAATAAGAATTAACCAAGACTGCTAGATATACGATCAAAATGTAAAAAGCAGTATTGTTCCTAATCACAAGCAATTTAAATTTAAGTATGTATTTTTAAAAAATGTTTTTATTGATTTTAGAGAGAGAGAGAAGGAGAGGGATAGAGAGATAGAAACATCCATGGGAGAGAGAAACATTGGTCAGGTGCCTCCTACATGCCTCCTACTGGGGATTGAGCCTGAAACCTGGGCATGTCCCCTGACTAGGAATCGAACCAGTGACCTTTTGGTTCCTGGGTTGATGTTCAACTACTGAGCCACGCCGGCCAGGCTAAAGTATATAGTTCTTAGTAATTAATAAATTTAGTTGGTAAACAGGAATAAGTTATAATAGAAATTTTGTATAACTTTTATGGAGAAAATTGTAAAGTTTCATTTAAGTCATAAGACCTAAATAAAATCTATGGACTAGAAGACTCCTCTAAAACTACAATAAACATTTAAAAATAAAGGTTGTGGTAAACTCATAAAGGAGAGGAAATAGGAAAGGAAGCAATGACAAAATTTTTAAATCTGGAAAGTAGGTAAATGAGTGGCAACTGACTTAGCAACTTACTTTGACTTAGTAAAAAGAAAGCTGAATCCTAGGCTGGCAGGGGAAAAGTTAAGAGCTTAAGACAACTTATACAAAATCCTCAAAAATCAGGGATTGCCCTAACCGGTTTGGCTCAATGGATAGAGTGTTGGCCTGCCGACTCAAGGGTCCCAGGTTCGATTCCGGTCAAGGGCATGTACCTTGGATGCGGGCACATCCCCAGTAGGAGGTAGCTGATCGATGTTTCTCTCTCATCGATGTTTCTAACTCTCTATCCCTCTCCCTTCCTCTCTGTAAAAAATCAATAAAATATATTTTTTAAAAAACCAGAGGGATTAGCTACTCTGGATACTCTGTAATAGAAGGGGTAGCTAAAGTAAGGATTCAAGTGAAAGATATTTGAGAACTTGTGTTTCTTTCCTTAATCCATATCACTGGGTGATTGATTGACCTTCTTCATTTCAAAAGAAGTTTCAAATTTTATCCTTTAAAGAGAATAAAATAGAGAATCTCTGTAGTAAAGGATGCAGACACAGTTAAAGGCTTGGTTACTTTACCAAAATCAGGGATACTGACTTACCATATGCCTACTGAATATTGAATTCAGAGACCCTTAGCTTCTTCCAGTTAATGAACCAAAGATACAATAGGAGTTCCTCAAAAAATGGCTTCACCCTACATAATGAAGTTCAGCTTGTCCCAGCACTCAAGAGTTCCCAATCAGCTTTTTAGTTCCCCACTCAATTATGAGCAGACAGCTTAAGATAGACATTTGAGAAAGGCTTCTAATGTAAAGACCTACACAAATGGGGAAATATTTTGGAGGAAATAGAAACTACATAAGGAAAAGAAAACTTAAAATTTTAAAAACCTATCAGTATTGTTGGAGAGATAAGAAAATACCTTTTATGCTTGAAGCATTGAATGTTGACTGAAGGATGCATCAGAGTAGAGAAATAGAAGGGACTTTTAACGAACTGATATTGTTCTAATTCTTAACAGGAGTCATGAGTCATTGGTGTTCATTTGTCTTCAGACTCTTCATATGTTTATGTACTTTTCTGTAGGTTTGATACAGTTCACAATTTTAAAAATAATTAACAAAAAAAGTAAATAAAAGGAGGAATAAAAAAATAGTTAAGGAATTAAAAAAAGAGCCAGATAGAAGTAAAAAAAAAAAAAACACAAACAAAAACTATGGAAATTTAAAAACACATAGGATGGGTCAAGTAGCAGATTAGACACAACTTTAAAAAAATAGCTTGAAATATAGATATTGAAAAACTACCCAGAATGCAACAAATGGAAATAGGAGATATAAAACATGAAAGAGCAAGTATGACAGGAGGAGAGTGAAATGTGAATATTTCTAACATCTATTTGGAGCTTTAAAAAAATAGAGAAAATAGGTAAGAGGCAATATTGGAATAAAGAATAGAGAGTTTTCCAGAATATATGAATAACATGAATCTTAAGATGTAGAAAGTTAAATGAATCTCTATAAATAGAAAGAAATCCAAATTTGTACATATCAGAGTGAAAGTGGAATACTCCAAAGACAAAGAAAAGATCAATCAGAGGGAAAAAAAGTTATCTAAAGCAACGATGAGACTGATAGCAGACTTAAAAATAGCAACAGTGGACGCCAGAACTTGGTGGAATATCTTTGATATTCAGAAAGAAATAACTATCAACCTAAAGGTATATGCTCAGCTAAATTTTTAATACAAAAGAGTAAAATAAAGATTTTCAGAATAATAAAAAGTGAGTTTACCTTAACAAAGTCTTTAATATATATATATATGAGGGCTGATGCACGAAATTCGTGCAAGGGGCTTGGCCCTTGCAGCCCTAGCTTCGTCCGGAAGGTCGTCCAGGACGTCCAGAAGGTCATTTGGCTGTCCGGTCTAATGAGCATATTATGCATATATATATATATTAGAAAGGAAGAATAATCTAAAAAGGAAAATTAGAGATGAAAGTGAATTGGTGAGCAAAAGAATTAATCATGTGTAAGTCTAATTGTGTAATTTAGACTGACTGTAAATTGTAGTTTGAAGGGCAAAAACATGACTATTACTGAATCCTTATATTCATGATAACTCTAGGTTTTGTTGGTTTGATTTCTTCTATAGGTGTACAGAAGATGGGTGTCCACATAAGAAATTTTTCCACACACGTTTTCTCATGCGAATGAGATTAACACCAGATTGTTCCAAAATGTTGATCTCAACATCCTCTGGATATCTCTTGATTTTGCACGATCTTGACTTAACCAAGTCTTTAGAAGTAGGCAGCTATCCCATTTTGAGAGCAAGAAGAACTACATCAAGTTCAGGTAAGCTTTTCTTTTTTGAAGAATTTTCCAAAGAATCTCAGACATAGGGATGTTATCTTCCATTCTGAGAACAATAGCAGGAAGAAGGGAAGACAATTAAAAGACATTCTTTGGAAAGGTCAGTGAGAGCTTTTTCTCATGGAAATATAATGATCTATATATATCTCTGACATAGCATTAATTTGTGCCTCTGATCACAAATGATCTAGGAAGAATAACTGCTAACTCTAAAAATATTTCCATTAGCATTATGCTAGCCAGAAAACCTTTCATCAGTATTTCTAAATTATCACTATCTCAAAAATTAATGATGATCTGAGGTAGTATCAATTTTTTAAGTTCTGGAACCCACTAGAGCTTTTAAGTTATAGTCAATATGGAATTTTAGTTTTAATTCTGTAGTGTATCCTAGACTTCCAAATGCTCAGACACAGGTAGCCAGGGCCTTCTTACCTCATGACCTCTAAACATCCTCTTGCTGAAGTCCTGTTCCTTCTTCTATTGCTGATTCCATCGGACTTAAGTGCAACTGGGGCTCAGAAAAATCTATGCACTATAATTTATCCACATTATGTGATAGAAACTATATTTCATCTACCTTTGGGAAAAAGAGGGCTGATCTGGGAACATACCCACTTGGAACACATAATGTTCATAAAATGTTATTAAAAATTAGCTTCAAATGGTTAGACTCTTTCTCCTGTCCCATTTCTTTGGGAATGTGTAGGCCTCATTGTACTGCAATTGCCCGACTGCTAAAAGTAGAAATTTAGGTTTTACCAGTCTATTTGCAAGCAAGGGATATATCCTTTTGGATTCAGATTTCTTTTTTCTGGTTAAACATTAATAATCAACTTTAGCTTTCTGAGAAGCAGTGATTTAAAGGCCTAATTGGCATTTTGTAATTTGCCCTGGCTGGTTTGGCTCAATGGGTAGAGTGTTGGCCTGCAGACTGAAGGGTCCCAGGTTCGATTCCGGCCAAGGGCACATGCCTGGGCTGCGGGCTCGATCCCCAGTGGGGGGCATGCAGGAGGCAGCCGATCAATGATTCTCTCTCATCATTGATCTTTCTATCTCTCTCCCCCTCTCCCTTCCTCTCTAAGATCAATAAAATAAAAAATAAAAAAACTAAGTAGGTTTTCTGACCTCTAAGGGTAATTCTGATATTTAATAACATCAAAAGGAGCTAATTTAATAAGAAGCTCCCACAGAAGTGTGGGGCCACTAGAAAAGTGTGATGAAATAGAGATTGCTCTTTAGAGTACTACATCAAACTCAGCTATCTGATATTCATTTTATTTTCCACAGATTTCAATGTAAAATTTGTATTGCATTTCAAAGATAGTATTCACATAATTTCAAGAATGATAATAGAAGTTTTTGCTATGCTTTAAGAAAGATCTGTTCATGTTCTCGGTAATGAGCCTGTTGTTTGGACCCTATAAAACATTAAACAATGGGCTAAACAGCTCAGTTCACTCTTATTGATATTTTTTATTCCATTTCATTACACAAATGATGCGGAACAAATGATGCTCCTGTGTTTATTTGGTTTTTCGTTTATATTTCACTTAAGCTAGTCATTGGTATAGAAGATTTTAGAAAGGGACTAGGCCTTAGATAGAACACTTCAGAGAGCTGTCCTATCTTAATCTTAATTATAATAAGCCAGTTTTAAGTGGACATGTACTTGCCATATTTCAGATGGATTTTAATAGTATGGCTCAAGTAGCTGATTAAAAAGTTAAAAGATATCACCAAAGTTTTGCTAGGTGTATTGTCAGAACTTTTTGTATTTTTAAGATCTGACCACTTCATCAAGTTCATCTGGTCCTAGAGTTTCTGGTTCACCTTGTCATCATAGTGATTCTAATTCATCTTCTGAGAAACACATGTCACGAGCCTCGCAAAGAGAAGGTAGGTGAAAAGTTGGATGTTGTAATCTTGCAACAAGTGATTCTACCAAGTAGCTTTCTTTGGTTTCTTTAATCCATAAAATTAGCCAAAAAAGATGAGGCCGTTCCTTGCCCCCCTCAGTTATCCTTTTCAAAAAGTTAAACAGGATCTCTGGGTTTGAGTTTCTTGGGCTTAAATTGTAGTTGGAGTTTAAACTTAGATTTTATTTCCTGGACTTGGCTTTGTGTAGTTTGGAGAGGAAGTAGTTGGGAAATACAGATCCCAATCAAGGTTACTATGGAAATTAAGTGAGATTACGCATGTGACAGTGGTGTATAAATATAAGAGGATATGTTTATTAGGTGCTTGTGAAAGTCATCTGGTTTCAGCCCAGTAGACTTTTTTTTTTAATATACATGTTTTATTGGTTTTTCACAGAGAGGAAGGGAGAGGGATAGAGAGTTAAAAACATCGATGAGAGAGAAACATCGATCAGCTGCCTCCTGCACACTCCCCACTGGGGATGTGCCCGCAACCAAGGTACATGCCCTTGACCGGAATCGAACCTGGGACCCTCGAGTCTGCAGGCCGACACTCTATCCACTCAGCCAAACCGGTTAGGGCCCCAGTAGACTTTTTATCTGCCATTTCCTTCTCTGAGCAATGCCGGACAGGCTCAGAGGGCTGGTGGGACAAAGCGAGCTACAATCTGGCCCTGTTCTGCTTTTCCCCCAGCCAGTCTGGCAGAGCTAGCTGCTTAGCCTGTCCCTTCCATCTTCTAATTGAAATGCTTTCTCCCCATGCAGATTTCACCTACAGTCCCTCTCCAAACTAATTCACATCTAAACTCTTTTTTTTTTTTTAAGTATATTTTTTTATTGATTTTCACGGGAAGGGAGAGGGATAGAGAGCCAGAAACATCAATGAGAGAGAAACATTGATCAGCTGCCTCCTGCACACCCCCCACTGGGGATGTGCCCGCAACCAAGGTACATGCCCTTGACCGGAATCGAACCTGGGACCCTTGCGTCCGCAGGCCTACGCTCTATCCACTGAGCCAAATCGGTTCTGGCCACATCTAAACTCTTATAGCACGTTTTGTTTGTCCTCTTTATAGACTGATAGCCAGACACAGTTTTTTTGTAATTTGGGGTCACCTTTTGCTGATAAGCATGTTTCCTATCTAGCTATTTTTGGAAAGGATTATTCATTAGATTTGTAATTTGTGTTTTCCCTAGGAGGCCTCACCTTTTAAGTGCTTGATAAATGCATACTTGGTTATTTTGCATGCTAATTTATGTGAGTAGAATGGTTTGAGCACCCTTCCTAATTTAACCTATAGCTTTATCCACTTTCTTCTGGATGCTGAAGAAAGACTGTGATGTTTCACTTTAAGGTTAAAAACTCTTCCTCTTGCCCTGACCGATTTGGCTCAGTGGATAGAGCATCGGACTGCGGACTCAAGGGTCCCGGGTTCGATTCCGGTCAAGGGCATGTACCCAGTGGGGGATGTGCAGGAGGCAGCTGATCGATGTTTCTCTCTCATCGATGTTTCTAACTCTCTATCCCTCTCCCTTCCTCTCTGTAAAAAATAAATAAAATATATTTTTTTAAAAAAACTCTTCCTCTTAAATTTAGAGATTTATGCCCATATGTGTAGCATTTCTTCTTTAATTTGTAGCAGAAACTTCTTTTACAGGTTCTGCCGGTTCTTCTCCTTTTTCCTTGGCTATGGGAAACAAGCCAAGGCTTTTTTTTTTTTAATTGATTTCAAAGAGGAAAGGAGAGGGAGAGAGAGGGAAACATCAATGATGAGAGAGTCACTGATTGGCTGTTCCTGCAAGCCCCCCACTGGGGATTGAGCCCACAACCCGAGCATGTGCCCTGACCATGGAATCCAACCCTGACCTCCTGGTTCATAGATTGATGCTCAACCATGCCAGCCAGGCCAATCAAAAGCTCTTAATAACCACTGAAAAAAAATCTTTATTGATTAACTAAACCATCCATGAGAAAAGAGAAAATTTAAGAAGAATAGTTCACAAGCTTGCGTGTTACTTTGGTAAACACCAAAACAAGACTATATAGCAGTTGTATGATACGAAAAGTTACATCTGGGAGAAGAGATGATGTATTGGGAGCCTGGGCAGAGAAAACAAGAAAATTTAGGAGTGGAAAGAGAGAAGGTGGGCTTAGAGGTAAGGTTGCTCTGAATGTTGGAAACCCTGGGTCTTTAGGTGTCAGCATATGTTAGCATCATACTTTGGCAGATATGATGGCTGTAAAGAGCAAAGGCCTTCAAACTTATTTCAGGATTAAAACTATTTTTGACATGAAATTTGCTGTGGATTCTTAGGGATTTAGCACAAATAAAAGTGGAATAACTCTGGTTCAAGTGAAATTAGGGAAGCCCTTGACCTACCCCCAGCTCTACCTTGGTTTCCAGGTGGTTCCCCACCTTTTACCAGCTATTGAGGAACCTCCAAGGAGCACAGCTTGGAAACCACTAGTTAGCTATTTAGAATGGGTTTATTTTCTGCTTTTGTTACAGATTTTCAAAATTAATTCTGGAAATAGGGATTTGTTTTTCTCGAAAATTAAAGTTTAATCACATGTGAAATCATTATTTAGGTATAATTTGGTTGTAACAGTGTAATTTGGAGTGTTACAGGTTCCCATCAATGCTAGTAGTCTAAAGGGAATCTTTTAAAAGAAGTTACATCTTTTTTGAGAAACAGTTTGCAAAGGGTTTGACAGAAGGAGCTCATTATCTTCCAAGGAACTCCTTCCATAGGAAGAGAAGTGTTGAAATATTTCTCTTGATATTACACTTTTAAGCTGCTTTCTCACAATGTCTGTACAAGTGGTTCTCCACATATCCGAGGCAGATGACGTATCCCCAGTAGTAACAATGGCTCTCTGCAGCAGTCACTTGCCTTAGACCTACGTAGAAGGAAATGATGGGCCATACCAGAGTACCAGGAGTATGTATGATTGGCAGTGTCTCCCACCCCTTGTTTTGACATGCTTCTGAGTGAGTGTCCTCCCTCGCCTCCAAAATTATACATCTATTTTTGTTTACAGTACTGTCCTTCGTGGCCATAAGTCCCTCTCCTTGTACACATAGCCTTTTATTTATATAATGGCAGTCTTCATGGCTTCCAAGTATTTCCTTCTCTGAACCAGGTCTTCTGAGATGGGAATTGTTATCTTTTACTTTTCCAGATTCCTCTCATGTCACATAACTTTGATTTTACTTAAATGAAGAGCTTTCTGAGATATAATCCAAATCAAATGGACCTCTAGTTAGTTTTAATGCATTAGCTTTAGGTCATTGGTGATTCTTGCTATAGGAACTTGGATTCTTTAGTTCTAGTCATACCCTTTCCCCATATCCTCACCCCAAAGACATACTCCGTACATTGAGGGCACTGTGGTGTTTTGTTTTGTTTTTTTACATGTGGTAGCATAATGCAGATAAAGGAATGAAGGCATAGTGGCTGGCTGACAGAAATCAAAGCTTTTTAAGAAGTATTTATTTTTTAAAGTATTGTTTTACTTTTTAATTGAATCCTATATAATAAAAGGGTGATATGCAAATTGACCCTAACAGCGGAAAGACTGGGAATGACTGGTCACTATGACACACACTGACCACCAGGGGGCAGATGCTCAATGCAGGAAATTTGGTGGTCAGTGCGCTCTCACAGGGGGAGCTCTGCTCAGCCGCAAGCCAGGCTGATGGCTGCCAGTACAGCGGTGGTGGTGGGAGCCTGTCCCGCCTCCTCAGCAGTGCTAAGGATGTCCGACTGCAGCTTAGGCCTGCTCCCCTCTGGGAAGTGGACATCCCCCGAGGGATCCCAGACTGCGAGAGGGCACAGGCTGGGCTGAGGGACCCCCCCTTCCCCCCGAGTGCACAAATTTTTGTGTACCGGGCCTCTAGTTGGTTAATAAAACTATGTAGGCTTTAGGTGTACAATTCTATAATACATTATCTGTATATTGTATTGTGTATTCACCACCTACAAAAATCAAGCTTTGAAAACCTGCCTTAGTTCTTTGATAATACAAATCCCACATTCTAATTTTCTTGTATCTCAGGAGTTTCACCACGAAATAGTCTTGAAGTCTTAACCCCTAAAGTTCCTGGTGAGAGAGACCGTGGAAACTGCATCACATCTTTACAGCTGCACCCAAAAGGCTGGGCCACTCTTCTTCGGTGCTCAAGCAACACTGATGATCAGGAGGTACGGGCAGCAGGACTCCACCTTCAACAGGGCCGACTGAACAAAATGCCATATGTGCTTGAACCCCTTCTCCCTCCCCTCTGGCCTGGGTGTGGCAAGCTAGGGAGTACTTTAAAGCAATGATCGGCTCAGATTGTGCCCAGCTTTTAAATTCTTTTCTCCTTCATCTCATCATAAAAAGCCCTTTATATGGTAAACATAAGACTGAGATGTTTCAGCTAAGCTGGCTAACAGTGAGGTTTTGCTAAGCCAGTTGAGTATAATAATTTTCTCCTTTAAAAACCAGGGGAAACTTTGGAAAAGGAAGGAACTAAACTGAGACTAGGGGAAAAGGTCTTATATGACCTTATGATTTTCAGCACTCTGAAAAGCAGGAGTTCTTGCCCTAACCGGTTTGGCTCAGTGGATAGAGCATCGGCCTGCAGATTGAAGGGTCCCAGGTTCAATTCCGGTCAAGGGCATGTACCTTGGTTGCAGGCACATTTCCAGTAGGGGGTGTGCAGGAGGCAGCTGATCGATGTTTCTCTCTCATCGATGTTTCTAACTCTCTCTCTCTCTCCCCTCTGTAAAAATTAATAAAGTATATTTAAAAAAGGAAGAAAGGCAGGAGTCCTTTAAGAATCTCACTAGCTCTAGAATCTGCAACTGAGAAAAGGAGAGAAGAGAGCCATTGAAACGTGTAGGGGAGGTATTCTAGGGCTTGACTGTCTTAACTCTTGAATTTTTAAATATTAAAATTGTTACTTTCAGAAAAGGGAATTATTACTACAGAAGTCACACTGGCTTCTGTGAATAAAAGGCTTTAAAGCATCATAGTACAGAATAACCCTAGCTTATGAAGATAGGGTACAAGGCTACAAGTTCATTAGTTGCAAGAGGGGTAGCATTCATCTAAATGATTTCTTACAGTTCTGTGGCTTTAGCATTCTGTTGAGTTGTGTGTTTTTTAAAGAATATCTGTAGCACTACTTGAGGCTCTATAACTTTGGTTTGTCCCTCTCCTCTCTCCCTAGTGGACTTGTGTCTATGAATTCCAAGAAGGAGTTCCGGTACGACCTGTCTCACCTCGCTGTTCTCTACGACTGACTCATTACATTGAAGAAGCCAATGTAGGCAGGGGTTATATCAAAGAACTTTGCTTCAGCCCTGATGGGCGAATGGTTTCTTCCCCACATGCCTATGGGATTCGATTGTTGGGATTTGACAAACAGTGCAGTGAACTTATTGACTGTTTGCCCAAAGAAGCCAGTCCCTTGCGGGTGATCCGTTCTCTGTACTCTCATAAAGATGTTGTACTGACGACAAAGTTCTCCCCAACACATTGTCAGATTGCCTCAGGGTGCCTTAGTGGACGGGTTTCTTTGTATCAGCCAAAGTTTTAGGCACAACTTACAACAAAATAAGCAACTCTTCTGGTGTTTGACATATAAATTGCTTCAATTGAGGTGAAGTATTTTCTTTTTTAGACGATCTTAAAAGTTTGGGTCAAGATCCTGATTCTTATGAACACACCTGTGACCTGAGGACTTGGTCGTCCAGCATCATAGGGGCATTGCCAAGTTAGACTCTATGCAGCAGCATCTTTTGCAGCATTCCTCAGCTCCTGCTGATCTGTGCCACTGAACCCCAGTTCTGGTTATTTTGCATGTTAGCTCTTGTCGAGTTTCTTTTTTCTTTTTTGATTTTGGTGTGAATTTTGTGGACATTTAGCAGGAGTTTTGGTTGGGTTAGAAGAAATCTGTGACACTAGAATAAAACCCAAACATTTGATGTTGGCATACTGATTGTTGAAAAAGAAATTTCATCTTTCCTTACCAGTATATTTGGTCTTTTAAAGTTGCTGTTATGTTTCTCAATAATGAGCACAGATAATGGCATTATTCTCATAACTATTGGATAGTCTTTCAACAAAATGTCTTTTAAGCTTCCTGTTAAAATTATATTTTTCACCATGAGAGGGTTTTGTTGTGACATTCTAGAAAAAATATTATCACCTCTCTTTGTAATTTACTTTACTTGTATGAATTTTAAAATCTCTAGCATGTGTCCTTACTTGGTATTTTGTTCCTGTCAACAGCATTATGGAGGAAGAGGGGAGAAGGAATGAGCTTTTGTTGTTTCTGTTGTTTAGAAGAGAATTTATTTATTGGATTAGTACACTATCTGACCACAAAGTGATGAGGACAGTGTGGCTCAGATATTCTGTTTTCTCTGCCAGATTATTTGAATCACACAGGATGACATGTTATAGTATTGGGGTGGAGGGGGAATCGAGAGTAAAGAGATGGGTTTTACTCATATTTCTTTCATGAGCTAGATGGCACAAGGTCAACTCTTAGCATTAGTGAGAGGAGAACTGCTGTCCTCTTCAAGCTGTTGGCATAAATGTGGTAGTCAGTGGCTTGGATGTCAAGACCGAGCTGATATGAAGACCTTTTGTTGTGTTTTGTTATGGAGCACAGCAAGTAAAAAGCCTATAGCAGGGCTTAATCCCAAGGCTGACTGCTCTGCTGCAGTAAGGGGCTTTCCTTTAGTCTCCTCCACTTTGAATGGTTTGGTGTTCAGAAGGGGTTTGCCAGAAGCTAGAGTAATTTAAGTCACATGCTGGCTTTTTCCCTCTTAGATAACATTCTCTTAAGCCAGTTGCTCTCAAACATTAGGGTACGTTATAATCATTGAGGAGCTTGTTAAAAATACAGAAAATGCCCTTATCTTAGGAGATTCTGATTCTGCCAGGGAGAAGACAGGAATCTGTATTTTAACAGGAACACCAAGTAAGCTTTATTCAGATGGCCCCTGGATCACCGTTTATAAAACACTACCTTCAACATCAGTAAATACTTTTGTATCCATCAGGTGCTTAACACAACTCCCAGAAGGTGTTTTGATTATTTTTTAATAATAAGTAAATGAAAGCAATTTTAGAGGTAGAAAATAACATAAAGTGAACTCAATTTCATTTTTAAGGAATGAGAGAAGTGACTTGCCTAAGGTTATCCTAAAAAGTTAGTGGCAGAGCCAGGACTCGAATTCAAGTCTCCTAATTCCTTGCTCAGGGCAATTTCTACTGTATTATGCTGTCTGTTAAAACAATGACTATGAACACTTTATTTTGTCTTTAATTTGTATTATTGTGAATACCCTTAAACTGGCTAAGACATTGGAAAAAGGAAGGCATGGGAGTAGATGCTGAGAATACCAGCCATATGAAGAAAAGTATTTTAAATTTTATAGAAATGTTTAAGCAACCCAAATACATGAATAAAAATGACTGTTTTGGTTTTTTTTGTAGGACCTACCATACAGCCATTCACACATGTATAAAGGTTACATCTCACTTGGAACAATGTTGGCCCTAGGACAAATTTTTAAAATTAGATCAATTTACCATGGATGTTTAAAATTTGGAAATTTTTTCATCATCAAAAAAATTATGACAAAGTACAGTGGAAACACAGGTTTGACATAAACTTAAAAAAAAACACTTAAAAGGAAGTTTTTGAGGCAAAAACACTTAATGTTAACATTAAAAATAAGCTACTAAGTGTAACAATTGTATTGATAATCAAAAGAAGTTTCCATAAATTGTATCACCTTTGGAGAGAGTTCCATGTCAGATACTGGGCACACATTGCCCAGCTCTAAACTTCAGTCATGATTGTTTAACAACTATAGAGCATCTATCACGTGTCAAATAATGGACATACTTTACTACTAATCCTCACAGAAACCTTACAAGGTAGGTAGAGGAGTACCAATTTACTTTGGAGGAAATGGAGGGTCAGAAAATTTAAGTGATTTGCCTTAAGTCGCAGAGCTGGGTGGCATCTCTGGGATTCAAACCCTGGTCTGTTGTAGTCCAAAGCCTATGCTTATTACCCTCCCATTGTGCCCTTTGGTTGGTAAAGGATGGTAAACTGGCCGGTTAATTTACTTGTTTTGCATCCTCTGGAAGTTCTTTATTACAGAGCTGGCTTACCTTCTGCACCACGTAAAAGAACAGTTACAAGATTAACAGTTTCCATTAGAATTAATACTATAAACTGCAGAGCATACATACAGTCCATTCCTAACTAACAAACCTCAAGCAGGACATGTAACTGTAAAATAAAGAAAAATAGAAGATAAATAGCCTTATAAAAAAAAATAGAGCCGCACGGATGAAATGGGCTGTTAATGTAAAAATTAACACCCAGCACAGAGAACCTTCGTTCTCTTTGAGGTATGGTCATGATCAAAAAGTCACCAGCGATATTAAGGAATTAAAAGTCTTCAGGAATGGTATACTATTAGAGGAAATGACATCTTATAATTAAAAGGTCCCATTTCACTTACAGTGTAAAATCAAATGTAGTGTTTTTTACTCTAAATTTTATTTAGTCATTTTTATTCATGATACTTGGTAAACGTATTATAATTGGTAACATAGTATAATTACTGGGAAGTGTAGTATAAACTATACTTTGGTTTTAAAAAGCTTTCTGCAGAACAGTATCTTTATGGCAATGCTATGTTGAATGAGTTTAGGAACATCAAATGCATAGTAGTTCCTTATTTTCAATTGTGAAAATGAAGTGGCTAAAGCAGATGAGATCTCTATTTTAATCTTTTGAAGATGTGTGTGGTCTTTTTCCTCAGAATCCCAAAGAACATGTATATTTTGTCATTTCTGCTTGTTACATCCTGAGAAGAAGCTATACCAAAAATTTTAGAAAAACAAGGAAAAGGTAGATCACACGTTCCCCATTTCTGCCTAGAACCAAGATCACATTATACTATTAGTATTAAAGTTTTGTTTGCTAGAAAGTGCAGTGTAGGAAAAATATTCTGAGAATCTTTTAAAAGCCTAATGTTTCCCAATTTGTCAGAATATATGGTATTGGCATCCATAAATACCTGTTAAGCTTGTGTTTAGTAAGAGAAATATTCTGATAACTTACTAATGACAATCATCCCCATTTAGTGACCAGCAGTGACAGAGAGCTATGAAATTTCATTACATAATAAACTGTGTTGGTCATAAAGCATATATATTAATTTTTGGATAACTAATGCATATCTCTTAAGTGCCAAAATTTAAAACTTGTAATTCTTTTTGATGTCTTTCAAATATGTTAGTATATCTCCCTGCCTTCTTCTTAAACAGCATGCTCATTATAATTCACTTTTTCATGATGAAAAGTAAAAGTTATATTCATGTATCATTACAAATATTCAGTAAGCTCTGATGTATATAAAATAATTCATAAAATGTAAAGGGCTATAACAAATATGAGTTAATATCAATTATTATAAAGTGGTTCCCTCAGCCCTGAGGTATATGTAATCGTTTGCCTCAGATTGCTGGTGTTTTGTTTTTAATTTAAAAATGTTTTATATCTGCTAAGCAGTTTATTCTGTCTCCTTCCACACTATCTATATGCCTGCCTCTAAAAGATTCCCCACTTCTTCTAATGTGCCGTGTTCATGTTATGAGCTGGAACATGAGATAACCAGGCCTGCTTAGTGTCTGCAGATCTGGGCAAGCTCTGGGTACACAGGCTTTGAGATGGCTCTTTTGGTTGTTTACCACCTTTCTGACAGGTTCACAATAACCTTCTGGATAATATAAATTTCCAGTTAAAGGCCTAACCTAGTGTTTGGTTTTTTTTCAGTTGCCACTAAGTAAAATACTTCAAGCGAAGGGTGTTGCTAGATTAAGGAACAAACAGCAATGTACCAAAGAATAGCAAAGCAACAACAAAGGCTCTGTATTTGCACAGGGGTCTTTCATGCTTTTAAGAAAAAAGAAGAATACAGAGGGGAAAACAATGAAAATTAAATCCAGATAGACTTAAGAGTATTTTTATGCCATTAAATAACTATTAAATAACTATTAAAATATATGCTTAAATTATCACATGTTATTACAAAGACACAGTTTAGTCTCATTGCAGAATAAGATTGTACCAAAATTTATACTCTAAAGATGATTCCTAAGAATTTCTCCCATTCAAATGATAATAGAAATGATTATCAAAAGGAAAGTCTCAAATGTACCAGTATTCTGCTCTCTTTAGTTATAAATGAATAAGCGGTAGTAATACGGGTTTTATCAAAGTTCCAAGGAACACATCTCACATACACATAGATCCTATATGTATGTGTACTAATGTCACTATAAATAAAAATGTCACCCAGAGGTAATAAAATAATTTTTAAATTTAAATCTGGTCTAACATATTTAAAATAGAATTTTCAGCTTTCCTAAGTTTCTTCCTCACTTTTCATAGTTTTTACCTTAAAAATGGAATATTTGAATTTTTTTTAATTCACTATATCTATTTCCAAACTGTGCTTTCTGGTAACTTTTAGATTCACATATTCAGGAAATTTGGAATGACCTATACAATATACTAGACACCAGGAAGTTTTCTCACTGGGCTCTGAAGTGCTGTAGTTCTTATGCTAGACTGTAAGCTCCCTGAGGGCAGGGACTGTCTTATTTATTCTTGTGTTCTTGTACAGGATCTGACAGAGTAGTTGCTTCATAAATGGTTGTTGAATGAATCAAATGAACCTTCACCATATGCGGCCTCAAATTCCCATGAAGCCAGAATTATTCAGCACTAAAGGAATTCATCATTTATTATCACAGTGAACACACTGTGTGCATCAGAGTCATACCTATGGTCAGAAAAACTATACCAACTCATTGATCTGGAAAACTGCAAGTTTAAGACTCAGTATTTCATTCAACAAACATTTGAATCCCTACCATATGCTTAGTCCAGTACTAGGGACCCAAGGGACTAAGGTTTTCGTATTCCATAGGTGCAGCTGAAACAGACTTCGATGCAGGGAGTGTGATCTGTGCCGGCATATAGGGCTTTGCACTGAGAAAGGTCCCATGCTTGGTTTAATGCTTGGCTAAAGCCATGTTGAAATTCTTAATTTTTTCAACAGGGGACCCACATTTTTATTGTGCACTGGGCTCATACATTATGTAGCTGGCCTGGCTTGGATATGATCATTTTGACATAATGGAAACAAAATGATCCTATATAATAAAAGCCTAATATGCTAGGTGTCTGGTCAACCTGTCGACCATTCAACCAATCAAAGCATAATATGCTAATGATATGCTAAGGCTGCTCAACTGCTAGCTATGATGTGCACTGACCATCAGGGGGCAGATGCTCCAACGGGTAGTTTAGCTGCTGCCGGGGTCTGGCTGATTGGGACTGGGTGAGACAGGGCTGGACACGCCCTGGAGACCTTCTGCAGTCCCTCCCCGCCCCTGATGGTGCACTGGTGGGGTCCCTCGGCCTGGCCTGTGCCCTCTTGCAATCCGGGACCCCTCGGGGGATGTCGAAGAGCTGGTTTCAGCCTGATCTCTTAGGCCAGGCCGAGGGACCCCACTGGTGCACAAATTCATGCACTGGGCCTCTAGTAAGAATGATATTATCTTTTCACATTCATTGAACTAGCCATAGTGCATGATTTAATAAAAAAAACTTACAAAATTTAAAATTAAAACAGAAGTACTCCCTTCCCAACAAACTTTTTAAAAGATCAAATGTTTTTCATTTAAGAATTAGAAAGCTTTCTAAACATGTAATTGGCTTTCACCTTTTCAATTGATTTTTTGTGTGTGTTTTTATTCAATTGAATTGTTTTGAGTTTTTCAAATGGATGAATGTAGAGTTG